TGGGATAAGGTGGCCTCGTTCTGATCCCATACGGGAGCAGCCAGTCACTGACTAACAATGCAGAACAGGATTGTTAAAGTTTTAATCTTAATTTCAGCTCAGGTTAGTTTTCTTTTTTGTGCGCAGAGACCTGCCAGCAGTGCGCAATTGCGCATGCGCGCAGCTTAGAGGGAACATTGCTCCTCCCCCTCTCTCCCTGTGTGTCCCTCACTCACCCACCCCCCTCGATGTCCCTTGTCCCCTCCTTGCCCCCCCCTCACTCACCCATGCCACTCGCTCCCCCGTTGGGAGTACCCCCTCCTTCCCTTGGGGTGTAAAAACACACCCCTCACACTGGGTTGATGGCACTTTCTTCTTTTTGACTTGGATTGTTGGCTATTGGTAATTTTCTCAGTATTATTGTAGAGTCTATATTTTATAATACGAAGCACACTGAGGTCACTGTTTTGATTTACGTAAAACTAAATTGAATGAATTTCACCTTCTTTTGATGGCTTTCGTTGGTAAACCTAAAAATATAAAAACTGTATATAGATGGATAAAAATTTACAGACACCTTGAATATTACGATGTTAACATGTTTAAGATGTTATTTCTGAGACTGGTGGAATTTCATTTCTCATTGGTTTGCTGTTTGCTGGGTTGGTACCTGTTCACTGATTTATGAGCACGCCATTCAGTTTTTCTGTTGGGCTGCAACTTAACATTTATTCTTTAGATTTCCTTGAACTCTTAAGTTATGCAGAGGTCTTGGCCGACCCATCATTTCTTTATACTAGCATAAGAGGCCAGACTTTCAACTAATTTTTATTTTAAAGTGCTTTTGAGGCTTTATGAAGGTGTTCCAGGTGCTCTTTGAGAGTTTTTAAATCATTTTAAATCATTTCTGTCCAAACAAATGTTTTGTCACACTCTGCTTTAACGTTGCCAGCTAAAGTTTATTAGACCAGCGTTAACAGAAGCATGTGCGTGAGTGTGGAACTTATCAGCTGTGCTGGGATGATGTCTTTGGAAATGTGGACCAGGACTGAGAAAACAAACTAACAAAGGTGCATCCTGACAACAGGAAACAGCCAAAGAAATGTCAAGACTACAAGGGGAATCCCATAAATTTAGGATTTTCCTACTTGATATTCACTTTTGTTGTTCTGCTGAACAACAATTTCTTTCACAGAGGACAGTGTATGCTCTCACAGTGACCCCCAAATAAAAGGTGTAATATTGTGATGTCAGAGTTTCACGAACGCAGCTCTGTGCTGAAGACGGGCCTGTTCTGACCTGTCAGCTCATTCCATCAACTACAGAACAGCTACACTCTTTTATAAATTCAACACCATGTCACAAAGTCTGCAAATGTCAAAAATCAACCGTTTTAGTAACACATTACATACTTTTAAAAATGGGGTTTTAACGATAATCTAAAAATCAGACAAATCTTTTGTTTGTAACTTTATAAGAGGACAAAACACATCAATGAGATTCACTACAGACAGGTTTTACAGACAGGCAGAGAGAGGGGCTCCTTATTATCATTAAGGGACAATGTCATGCAAATGAAGCACAGCAGCCTAACAACATGCACTAAAATAAGAAAAAGCAAAAATCCCTCATTTAAACTTTGTCGTAAAGTTTGGGAAAATGCAGAGGAGGTTTTTTATAATAGTGTTCTTTGTCAATGACTCCTGCACTGTTAACAAATGTGAGCGAGTTAAAGTCACAGCGACAGGGCAGAGGACATTTGGGACGGGGTTTGAATGTCATTGTTCACCTGCTCTACTCACAGTCGCTTCGCTTCTGCTTTCGCTCACAGTATCCCACAGTAACACTCGGGTATCTAGTCATTTTGAAGTTGTACACCACGATAACTGTGTACAGAAGCAATCTACAAAAACTGCAATAGTTCAAGCAGATTACAGCATAATGTCAGCAGCTGGATACAGACGTCAGTGGCATTGGTGTAATTACTCTCACCACCATCAGGAGGAGACAACAGTTCAAGTTTAACATTCTTTACATTGTTGATGAAATATAAACGCTGAAAGCCAACCTTGAAGATTTGGATGGCCTGTTGGTGTGTGAGTCCTTGCAGAGACTCTCCGTTCACCTCCAGAATCTCGTCTCCTGTGTGGGGAGGCATAAAATCACCGTTAGTAGGTAATGATCTCTGCCAGGTGCTGTCAAGCTTTTCCTTCCAAGTCAGTAACACAGAATGAACAGGAAGTAATACCCTCCTTCAGCCGTCCATCAGCTGCCGCAGCACCGTGGGGGAATATTGTCCTGACAAAGATGCCCATCTGACCACGTGCTGAGTCCTGCCCACCAACAATACTGAACCCAAGGCCCTGTGGGAGTTGGAGTCAGGCAGAACAGCAGGAACCAAGGGTTCAGTGTTATCATCACAGCTTTTAGTAGTGACCAGTGTTGGGTAAGTTACTTTAAAATAGTAACTTAGTTACATTACTAGTTACTTCTCTCAAAAGTAACTCAGTTACTTCAAACTACTCGTTACTTTCAAAGTAACTAGTTACTAGGGAAAGTAACTTTGGTTTTACTCAGAATTCTCTTGTTAATGTGTTTCTTCCATAACTTTGCCAGTCTTCTAGCTTGCTTACTTGCCACAGTGCGCTGTGCCACCTACCAATAGAAAGGAAAAGATAATGTGCACATTTCCACGAGAGAAATCCCACGCCTGGACCGTCATTGACTGCTGCCATGATTCTAGCCTACGTCACAGCGTCATGTGCGCCTTTTACATCCAACACAAAAACTGCAGTCGTGGTGCTTTGATTGTACTCAGAACTCTGAAATTCTGCCTTCTGAATAGGAAGATGTAGGTAACACCAGACTGCAGATGAGCTGCATACAGGGCTGGACTGGGACAGAAAATTGGCCCGGACATTTTGACTAGAGACCGGCCCACCATTATAGGAAAAATCATAAAGCCTTTGAATGAAAACAAACACTGTTGTGACAGTGATGTTCACTGTTCTGATGGTATATATGCATCAATCTATCAATCGTTTGTTGTAAGATTCAGATAATTATTTTTTAAAAGCTAGACATTTTAAATGAGAATAAGAAAGAAAAGTATTTCTTTGTGCCCCCCTCTCCCTGTTAATGCCCTACCTGCCCCCCTGGCAACACTTTACTAGACCCGCCCCTGCACAGTTACCAGCTGTCAGCTGCTTAGAAAAGGATCCTGGTGTTATTTGTCTCTCAGAAACAGTTCATAACTTCCCTTCAACTCATTCATGTCACCTAAAAGGTAAACCTGTTTCTCCATCACAGCTCTGATGATTCAGTAAGGACGTCTCCTGGTTTCATCTTCATGTTTCCCTCTCACCAGATAACCAAACCGACATCATGACCAGCAGCTTTACAGCTGTGGCTCCAGCAAACATCAGCTGATACTAGAAATTAATATTAAATTAATTCTAACAACAGCTGATCAAGCTTAAACGTGCTGCTGTTGTTTACCGCGACATCCGCTGGTTTCCTCTTTCGGTGCAAAGTGAGCGATAAACAAACAAGAGAGCCGATCAGCTGATCATTGATCAGTTTCATGATTGTAGAAGTAGAAACAGGAGAGGGAGGGGGGAGAATGAAAGAAGAGGCAGCTGTGCAGCAAAGACACAGAATAACTGCAGCTTTGTGTCTTTTTCATTGTAGCTGAATTACGGGACAAACTGTTCCTTTTCACCTCAATAAGAAACGCGTAATATTTTCTCTGAATACCAGACGGGACGGTTGGCAACTCTAATAACTTATGAACAAAATAAAGTTCAACATCATTAACTTCATAGCACCACCCAGCTGTATAGAAACTCCGTCATGCTAGCTAGTAGCAGTACGGAAAAAGTCAGCATAACGAAAATAAACTCCACCTAAACTTGGTTCATATCTGACCCAGAGAGACTGCAGGTCATAACTTCTTACCTGAGGTTCAGTTCACACTTGGACCGGCGGCCGCCTCGGGTCTCTTTTCCTTCATCCACCTGCTGCCTCCACCACTTGCTAATGTTACTGAATCTGTGGAAGCTCCGCGATAGCCACCACTCGAAGTAACGAGTAACGACCCTATCCAAATTCCAGTAACGAGTAACGCGTTCCTGATTTTGGCATAATAACTAGTTACCGTGCTCGTTACCACAATAATAACGTAGTTACTGTAACGCGTTACTTAATAACGCGTTAGTCCCAACACTGGTAGTGACACATGACAGCGCACATTTAGATGTATCGCCATGCATAGGTTTCTTTTCTCCTTACATAGATATCAAGGTCGGTAGAAGTTCCTACCAGATATATGGAAAGTTGCAGTGAAAACATCATTAACAAAGTAAAGTGTGAATGTAAAATGTTTCAGTTGATAACAATGATGTAACACAGGTCAGAGGTCAGTCTCTGCTACAGGATGACAGTCGACTGCACAATGTGGGTTTACTTTGAAAAGCTTATGGAAGTAAACAAAGTCAGAAGATCCTGCAGCCACATACTGCAAAGGGCCTTTGTGACAAAGCACTGCTTACGGTTTTGGCTGCGGGCTAAACCCTGCCACCTGCTGTCCAGCCACAGGCAGACTTCACAACTCCACAAGCGAGTACGGAACAGAAGGGTTGAAAGTGAAGTCCACCAAACAGAGAGCAGTAGGCCTGACAGCACTGTTGTATGCGTGTGACTCTACTGTAGACGCGTCAAGCTACTAGATCAGTTTCACCAGCCCTGCCTCATATGAATTGGTACAACAGTGTCTCTAAGGTAAATGTACTTTTGCAAGCCTGCTGCAGTCTAAGATGGTCTGGATTTGCATGTGCATGCCTGTCCTCTTGGACAATGATAGCCTCTCGGTCCAAGAGGACAGCAAAAAGAAGACACTAACCCCAAGTTGCTCTCCGATGCATCCATGGGAGTGTGAATGTGTGTGACTGTTAGCTAGGAAGCACTGAAAAGCACAGAAGAAAATGCTTGTGTGAATGGGTGAATGTGGCATGTTGTACAATGTGCTTTGAGTGCTCTGGGGGTAGACAAGAGATGTGTAAGAATCAGACAATCAAGCAACAACCAGAGAACCACAAAGGGCTTAAATACAAAGAGGGCCAACAAGGGAAGTTGAAACACACAGGGAACACCACTGGGAGGGAGACGGGCAGGAAGCAATACACTAAACACAGGATGTTAGACTTTCAAAGTAAAACAGGATGAACACGGGGAACAGAGACAGAACTAAACATACATGATAGACATGATAGACACAGGGAAAAAACTAATGACATGATTATTGATTTTAGGAAGTCCTCTTATAGCTCATCACCCACTATCAACAGGTCTGTAGACGACGCCATCAACATGGCCCTACACTTCATCCTGCAGCATCTGGACTCCCCAGGAACCTACGCCAGGATCCTGTTTGTGGACTTCAGCTCTGCCTTCAACACCATCCTTCCAGACCATCTCCGAGACAAGCTTTCCCAGATGAATGTGCCTGATCCCATCTGCCG